TAATATTTATAGCAAAGTTTGATGCATCTATTTCTATAAATAATGCCTTAGAAAAATTAACGCAATACAAAATAGGTACAAATATAAATATTATCTTCAAGGCTTCAAAAGATATTTTTCTTTCTTTACTTTACTTAAGTTTTTCTTTACATATTAGACATGTAAGAAAAGCTGCAACTTGAAAAAAATTCTTAATGAAGATTCAATAATAATTAGCAAATTCTAAAAAATATTACTCATCTTTGATTATTTTTAAAATCTTCTAATCCATAATAGTCTAGACCTTCTTAGGATCTATCATTAATTCTTTGTTGAAAATGATGTGGATCAGATTATATGTTCTTTGTAGATCTATTTTTGTATAGATCTTTGCTTGATTAAGTTAGTCAAGAAGTCTTGAAATCAAAAGTAAGGGATACATATTTTTGATGGTAATCTTGTTAAGTCATAGATAGTCTACACACATCAGCAAAGATCCATTTTTTTCTTCATAAATAAGTTAAGTACTCATGTTGGAGATTTCAAATGGCATATAAAGTTCTTAACTAAATTCTTATCAATGTACTCCTTTAGTGCAACTAATTTATTTTGCAATAAGCTGTAGATTGCTCCGAATGGTGGTCAATCTCTTTTATATAGATCAATTTTACAATCTTAGGATTAATGCTCTAGAAGAATATTTGTAATTTTTTTTTTCAAAAATTTCTTAGAAATCTTTATACTAGTTAGAAATACCACTTTACATCTTTCTATCATTAGAAATAGATGTAGTACATATAACAAAAGATAACCTTTTTTTTACCACATACATACAAGTTCTTGTACCTATCAATAAAAGTTTGGATATATTAGGCTTATTTATTTCTACTTCACTATTGAGATTTTGGATTAAACTACAAGAAAAATTAAAATTATAAGAAATCTAGTCTATTTGAGGGTTATATTTTTCTAACCAAAATAATCCTAAAATAATTAGATTGAAGAAAGATCTTATTACATTAAATATTACTATGCTATTATGAGCTTTATTTGCTACATCTAAACAAACAATCTCATGAGTTATGTCTCTAGAAGTTGATGAATGACTATCTATGGCTTTTACATATATTGATTTAATTTTCTTAATTAAAGTTGTTTCTTATTTTTTGACAAAGTATTTGTTTCTAAAATAGATTTAGGCTTCTAAATCTAATAATACAAAGACTTTGTGATTTTTAGATCTAAACACACATCTATTATAAGATAAGATAAGGGATCTAAGGAGAGAATAGGATCTTTATTAGGTGTTACATATGATTTTAGCTACACAGCCCTTATTGTAGTTGAAGAAACTCAATTTTTGATACATTGTCTTCTTTGGCAATTATGTTCATCATTTTGTAATTGTATTGCTTCTTTAGACAATGTTGAGCAGTGTGTTTAGTTTCTCTATAATATAAGCATAAATCCGCTTGATGATGTTGAATTTTTTCTTGTTCAGTGAGGAATTTCAAACATATCATATCAATTTGTATTGGTTTTAGCCATGATAAATAAGTTTTTAAAAACTTGGAAGTTGGCATCATTACTTGGCTTATTCTTCTCCAGCCAAGTCTTTATTTTTAATGTCTTTCAAATAATTGATTGTCACATGCAATGGCTTGAACAATATATTATTCCAAAAAAAAATACTTTTGATATTATCAATAATAAATCTTTGATATCATTCTTCAATCCATATTAAAATTCATTGATAAGAGCTTTGTCATTTCAATCCATGTCACGAGCAAGATTTTGAAATTCAATAGCATATAATGTGGCTGATTATGATTCTTATTGAAAAAATAAGAGTCTGCTCTTTACTATTCTTTCTAAATCACTTTCTTTGAATGTGGCTATAAACACTTCTAGGAATGAATTCAAATCATGAAGGAATTGTGAATCATTTTCCATCTAGGATGTAAACTAAGAGAAAAAACTTTTAAATAGAAGTGCGCCTATGAATCCAACTTGAGTAAATCCATCAGGATATTGAAAGAGATACAATTTTAAATAGAGCTTAACTTGTTGCAGAAATTTTCATCTTGTTCCATCAAACTTCTCGAGCATACTAATCTTTGTTCCTATCATACTTGTAGAAGCAAAACTTCTTGGATTTAGTTATGAGGACAATTTATTTGCTTCCTTCAACTACACAACTTCTTGACGTAGATTCTGAAGTCCTTCTATAGGCATAGGATTAGTATTTCTATGGTTGGCACTTGTGATGTGTGAAATTTTCACTCTAAGAATATTGAGAAGTTCTTCAAGATCAACAATAATTACAAATCTATTCTCACTTCCGCCAAGTGTAACATCTATGATTTTTCCTTCTATTTCAAACAACTTAGCAAATGTACAATTCAAATTAGAGGAGGATAATCTACAACTTCTAATATCAAATAAAAATTTCCACAAAGAAAGATAATTTGCTCTCTTTAAGGAAGATATTAGTATTAGAAAACTAAACAATTTGTTTAAAGATGGATAATTTGCAAACTTCAAAACACAACTATAGAAGTGAAATAATTGACTTACTTTTAAAATAAGACAAGAACAATAAATTAGCACTCTTGTTAAATTATCAAGGATATAAATTTCAAAGCACTAAAATACCAATACACTCTTGTGTCACTTGAAAAGACCAAAAAATCACTCAAAGATGATATAGTATTAAACTAGAATGGCTATTGCCAAAGACAAGAAGACTAGAAAGTCTTGAAACAAAACTAAGGATTAAAAAGACATTGACAAGTATGAAGAAGGCTCTACTCTTGCCTCTATATATACTCTTAATTGGAAGCTACGTGGTAATGTTCTATAGAATCTCTAAAACATGTTGACTTTGCAAGATATGTATCTTAAGTTGCAAGACAAGTTTTTTATATGTGCACCACATAGTTAGCTTGTTCTACAAGTTATCAATATGTGGTTAACTTGTTGACCAATTTTCTAACCTACCAATCAACTACAAACATATGTAAAGTCAAAACAATATCTATGAAGCTTCTAGGAAGCATCTCTAGAACATATAATGAAATAAATCTACTTTTATCTACTTATATTTAATCATATAGGTAAATATTGGAATAAATACACATGTCCATGACAAATTGGCATACTCCATCTGGCATTATGAAGAAGGTAGAAGCTAGCCAGAGCAACCGATGACCTTTGATATCCATCCTTATTTAGTACAATCGCAAGGTGAATAAAATCCAAATAATCAATTAATCGACAATGCAATTAAATTAAGATTTTATATAACCAAAGATTGGATGAAACTTATTAGATGAAATTTAATTCAAAGATGAATGTTAAGAATGGGTGAATTTTAAAAATGAATGAGAAGTGAATTGTAGATGAAAAGTCAATCAAGGATGATAAATTATACTTGGATGATTTTTTGTTAATAGATAAAAATTAATATAAAAAATAATAATAAAACAAAAAATCAAATTAAAAATTAAAATATTCAATGTATTTGATTATTTTATCACCAAATAATCAGGTGATTATTCTACTTTAGTTAAGTTATTACAAATACTACTAAAGTTTTTCATAGTCAATTTAAATTATAACAAATATAAAATAACATACCTATATAATATCCATCAAATTTATATTAATTTCGAAAATGGATAAAATAGTAAATACTAAAATACATATTATTACGTGTTAAATTATGCTAATAATAACAACAGAAATCCAAATATTTTTAGAACATTGTATATTTTAATGTCAATATAATTTTTTACATTCATTTCAATAAACTGAGTTGTATGTATCATTTATATATGTTTGTGTTATTGGATCAAATATGCATCAAGCACCCACCAATTTCCCTCTATAAAAACCATTTATTACATTCACTACAAAATAGACCATGAATTTAGATCTAAAAAATAATTATATTAAAAAATGATTTATTTCTAACAATTATAATCAAAATAAAAACAGGTTTTATCAATGTAAAAAGAAGAGTTTTGGGCTTCACTAAAGACGTAATGTATGACAAGTGATTCAGTTACTGAACAAAAATTTTGGATTATGGAAATCACATAGAAGCTAATTATCCATCAAATTCTCAAAAATAGAACAGATACATGATACCAACTTAGAAGATTAACTTACACATTGCATAAGCATGATTTGATTCCAAGTACTTTGAAGTGCAAATTCAGCAGCAATTTGTTTTCTAATTAAGATTTAGAGATGCCAAGGACAATTATTGTATTATGCGTCAAAATGACAACAAATGATACTGTATTACAGAAATGAGATGTTTACATGGAGCGCCAAGCTATATTCAGTGATTCCTTTTCAACATGAACGTACGGGTGTGTGTGTGTCAGTTTGTGTCACACTCTCTTACCAGTTGCAGCTATACGACCGATTTGACTGTTGATTTTAATAAGATTTCAATCGTTAAAAGATAGGGCATACGCCGGCTGTGAATATATGTCAGCGAATTAGATCATTCAAATTTTTAATAATACGGGTTAATACGTTCATTAGGGCAAATTGCATATCAAGTCATTTGTTCTCGAATTGCAAATAATAAGAGAAACACAACTAATACGTATACACACAGCAAGAATGCAGCGTAAAGATGGTTGCCGACAGTTAGCATTACTGAAGTCCATTACGATCAGTAGGAACATTACCACGGACGCGTCAGAAAACTCACCAGAGTTAAAAAGACACTTTTCAAACACAACAGCAAGATTTCATTGACGACGGAGAAGCGAATGGGAACAAGAAAACTGATCAGCATATTTCATCAACAGATGACGAGCAGATAGTTACTTGGACAAATTCCTTCGACACACCAAGAGTTGGACTATTTCAGGAAGTGTAAAACTAGCCCAGTTATAAATACTGGGCATTTATTACCAGTGCAGGGAAACTCCACGTGGAATGCTCTCTCCTCCAATCCTCGTAGGACATATCTTGGCACATTCAGAAATTATAAAGGAAGATGCACTTTGAGCGGTAACTGTTTACCCAAAAAAATTAGCATGCACAAGAATTTACACCGGATCCTAGAGGATCCTCAAGGATTCTGGATACTATGAACACGTACCAATGGGGTGAAACTGGCCGTGCAGATGCCAACGGAAGCTACAAGGGTAAATGCCAGATCTAAAACTATGGAATGTCCGGCACCCAATTTAAGCAAACTGGGCTGTTTTTTCTTTTCATGGAGGATATCACCTCTTTATGGTAACAACACAACAGCATCCACGTGAGAATTGCATTCCATATGAACGCCAAATACGTATTATAAAAAAAATTGCAAACGAAACCTCTATGCTACACTATCCACCATAAGCAGTTAACACCAAACCTCCTCACGCACTAGCTGCGACAACTGGGGTAGGGGCAGGGGCAGCTGATTGGGGAGTCGAGTGCGATGAATTCTTCGGTAAAAGCCTCTTCACGATTTTCTGAAAAAATTTGGACTTTGGTTTGTCCTCCTTTAACACAGCCTTTTCTTCCACCGCATCCTTCGGCGCTTCTTTAGGCGCCTCGGCGGCTGGTGTGACAGATTCTGCGACAGGTTGAGCCGTCTCAGCAGAAGGGATTGCAGGCGTCTCTGAGGGAGTAACATCGGCGGCTGATGTTGTCACAGCGGCTGCCTCAGGCGCTGCAGGTGCGGGAGTCTGCAATTGCACAAGACTGTTATAATCGCAGTTCTTTTCACCACACCATGAATGATACTCCCACTTTCCACCTGTGTGCATCAAATTAGTGGAAGATTAGAGTTAATTTCTTACCTCAATTTCGGGAGGGGTAGAGACGGGCACGCTCTCAGCTTCCTTGGAAACTTCTGCGATTGTAGGAGGAGTGGAGGTTGCCGCTGTGCCTTGCTTGGACTCAGGAATGCTCCCACTGAATGAATGACTCTTGGTGAAGAAAGATTTCTTCACTTTGTTGAAAAACCCCTTTCCTTCACTAACCTTCTCATGAATCTTGTCGGTGGTAGTGGGCTTACTATCAGCGGCAGGGGGGGGAGTCTCCGCCACGGGTGCGGCCACTGTCTCCGCTTCCGGTGCTGCGACAACGGGCTCCGGGGCAGGAGCAGGGGCAGCGGCAGCTTCAACGGGTTCCTTAGTTGCTTCCTTCGCAGGCGACTCCTTGCTCTTACTACTCTTCGGGAACTCAAATGTCTTTTTGATCTTCTGAAACAGTGTGGAATGGTCAGACTTTGCAGGGGCAGGAGTATCGACAGCCTTGGGTTCCACTGCAAAAATACGTAAGTATTGGAAGGACAAGCGTCAGTGAGCTTCTAGCTAGCTCTAATCTCTGACAACTCCGATTTAAAATCGGCGTAACTTCAACGCTCCTGAGAGATAAATAAAGTGACACTATCACCTATCGAATCGCAAAACCAACCTGTGGGGGGTACTTCTTCCTTGGTTTCCACTGGCGGCTCGACGGCCTCAACCTTGGGTTCCTCCGCCGGCGCTGCAGAGGTCTCTACGGCAGGGGCAGTAGCCGGGGCTGATATCTCGACAGCCGCAGGGGCAGCAGGTTCTTCGGTTTTGACCACCTCCGTGTCTGCAAATAGGAACAAAATGATTATAAATTCGAACCTCGGCCACTGACTTATTCATTATCACGATTGTTATATCATGAGGCAAACATGAAAATGAGGGCCACAAGAAGAGTCCAAAGTCTTGAAACAGATGTTCATGCAGTCGTAATAAAATGAGCCCAAAGAACATCGCAACAGCAACCTCCGTCTTACTCCCCAATACGTCTGACTCCGAGTAATATCGTCATACTTTCCTTAAATCACAGCGAGACGTTCACGGGTAATTAACCATACCGCAGCTCCAGGATCTGAAAGCGCTTCAACCGAATCCTACTCGGAAGTTTATGACAGTACATCCGTGGACAAATAAAACACAAAATTAGTTCAGATGCCTCATGACAGCGACTTACATTCAGGGGCCTCTGCCTTAACTTCCTCTGCCTTCGGCTCTTCCGCCATCGGAGCTGGTGCAGGAGATGAAGCCGAAGCCACTTCAGGCACACTCTCTTCTTTTTTCTCCACCTCGGGGGTGACGTCCGCAATCTTAGCGCTGGAGTCGGCCATGTTTTAACCGACACGCTACAAGGCTCAAAAACTTCAGCTCTCAAAAAACTTCTCGGGAAAGTACCGTTTCTCGCTGGAAACTGCCACGGAAGTAAGAAACACTGTAAGATAACCAAATCTACGATTCCTCAATTTCAGGAGATGTAAAAGCGCGCTGTTGGTGTCGCAACAAAGGGAAGCAGTTATATAACTTCAGGCCCAAGCAGTTCACCTTGTCTCGAAAAGTCCCTGATATTCTTCTATATGCCTATCTCTGTAAGGTGGAGCAAGTTCCGACTACAAGAAAGAAAACAGTTCCGAACGTGTAAAACTGCTGCAAAATCCTGGAAGCGACCGTTCCGCCCGAACCTGTGAATGTATACCATCCGATCAAAATACTAAGCCAAAAGTAGTATTTCTCCAACGAAGACTGCACTCCATTCAGGAACTTCCTGCAACTCGTCGCTATTATTCGTAACTCAACACACAGTTAAGCATTAGGAAATATCAGGATCCTATACAAATTTCATGGAGTAGCGCAGAAAATTCAACCTCGAATGCGGTCTCTGCTCCAGAACGTGGACCAAAATGGACGCCGAAGGAGCTATGGCGAAAGGAGAAAGCAACGATGAAATCGAGGAAGGAGGAAGGGAGGAAGGAGGGGGGCAGTCGGAGAGAGGGGAAGCGGGGCGCTGAACACCTGGGAAGGATACTAGATGAGCGATGACAGCAAGTGGGTGCTTATGTATGGGGACGGGAAGCAAGAAGCGCGAAGGAAAGGCTTGTTATGGCTGCGGAGGTGGAGGGCGACCTCAACGGATCTAGGCAGCTGCGCAATAACACCAGACACGGCGTGGTGCCAGAGAGGGGAAGTGGCAAAACAGGCAGCCAGCTATGGAGGCGGCGAGCTAAGAGGGCGCTGCGCCGGGCTGCACGCCCGTCCTTTCCGTCGTTCGGGCCCGGGAAAATTCCAGGCAACCCGCCCATCACGCGCCCGTTACTTCAGGCCCCATCCCCCTCAGTAAATGATGCCATACTTACTGAAATTCCCAGCAAAAAAGACAATTCGTGTCCTGCTTGAAGTAGCACACAAACTGGCACCACACCATCTCCTCCTAAACGTAACCCCACTTACTTCATCATCTCGCACAATTGGGACCAGCTGTTTTATTCTTTTTTCTTCCTTCTTCTTGCTTCCTTCTGCTTCCTTCCTTCTTGTGTTCTTCGAACTGGGTGCCTGTGGTACAAGCGCGGGTTCAAAACTTAACCCTCCTCCCCGCTGGAGTTATAGAGCATAGTTGCGGCATGGACGTACGAAAGGAAAGCGTGCATAAAAATACAAAACCATGAATTAATAGGGTATGAGTATTACAGTTGTCTGCATGAGTGGGTGGTGGTGGCCCAGCGTTCAAGTGCGTCTGGTCGCTTTCTATTCTGGACGAGAATTGCCTTCCCTGTTTTGCTCTGGGAGGCCCCCACCTTGGCGTTGCTTGGACGGAACTCGCATGACGATGCCTCCCCTCGGTGGCTTGGTTAGTGGGCCGACGGACGGGCGGGCTGGCGGACGAAGCGACGTCGTGCATCCTCCTCATGCCTCATCCACGTTGTTCATCCTGATGGACGTAGTGCCAGCTGGCTATGCCCTTTTGGACTGTAGTGGAGGTGGGGCCCGGTTTCTATCCTGACTAGCACAGTGTTCGTCGGTAGCGCTGGTCCCGAGCGGACGCTGTTCATCCTCGCCAGTCGGGATGCACGTCAACCTCTCATCCGTCCACCCTCCCTAGGGCAGCCGCGCAAAAACAATTCCAATCATTGATTCTTTCCCTTCCTTCCTTTGCCTTCCTTTGCTTTTCTTTCCTTTCCTTCCTTCCGACTCCTCCGCCCATTTCCATCGCCTCCCCCTCGCCTCACCTCGCAGCCTGGACGGCGTCATGAGCGCTTTCGGGCTTCTCCACATGCTCTTACCTGCCCCTCCAGCCCATATGACACCAAATTCTGGCTTTGTTGTTTTCCTCTGGCTCTCTCTCTCTGATCTCGCTAATTAGGGTTTTGGCTGTGGTCGGTTTCGCTGGAGGCAAGGCCTATTTTATGGAAGGCTTTGCAGAGTGAGGGGCGCTGGTTTCCTGCTGATGGTGTCGGGATCCAGCCCGCCATCGCTGATCAGATGCCAAGGAAAGTGGAAAAATCTACCCCCACTCCTTTGCTTGTCCAACTGCACAGCTGGGAGGGGTGGGGCTGCTGAGCTGGACCCTGAGGGGTGAGATGGCAAGGTGGGGTGTGGGATGAAAATGGATGTACTTGAATCTGAATAGTATAGTCCCTCCACAACAACTTTTCTTTTCTTTTCGGGTGGTGACGAGGATATGGGACACAACATGATCTTCCGTGAGCAACAGGAACATCTTCCAAGACATCTCAGATTATGTTGAGATGTCTTGATTTCATTCATTCTCCATCTCACTAAATTCAATGACGAACTTCGTTGAAATGGATGAATGAACACGTATGTGAATTACACTCTCCGAGATTGAATCAACAGATACTGTTCGGAGGAAAATATCTCATCGGTCAGTGCCAACGTGGAATAGAAACTCCCAGTGTGAATAGGACCTAGGGTTGTTGTTTGTTTCTATTCTTTATCTTTCGATTGTTTCTGACGTGTCGAATCCACAGCGTGTCCAGAATGGCCCTGCGGGTGGGACATATTCTGTTCCGTAATGAAAGGGGAGGGGTTGCACTATGGTCCAACACATCATCCATCTCGCTCAATTGGGGAAGGGGGGATGTCAAACAAGACTTTTATATATATATTTTACATGATAATTGTTTCCAAGTGATCAATCTTGTAACGTTCCTTTTCTTTTCTTTTCTATCATCTGCTTCTTTTTTCTTTTTTTGGTAAGATAATCCATGTTGATCATTTATTCTTTGAAAAAAACATACTAGTTATTAAATAAAGTCACCAAACCATGAATGATAATGATTTTTCATGTTAATTATTGTGGGTATTTGACTTTTATGAAATTTCCATCAAGTACTAAGTATTACTCTTGTCTAAAAGGTTATATAAGAAAAAAAAAAAAGGAAGAAAATTGAACTCACAATGAAGTTCCCCAAAAAAAAATCAATTATTCAAATCCAACAGAATGACCCTAACAACGTGTAATTGATATTGTATAATCATTTCAATGCAAACCTAAATCAATCTGAATGTTGTGATTACATTATATGACTCTACTATCTCCATGGATGTAAGACAACTCTAATGCTTTGAAAATTGCAAAAATAAACTAATTATTTCTTGAAAATTTCAAACAAACAAGCTGTAACCTGTAGTTTAAACATATTACTTCAAATTGAACATTAAATACCTGGAATATATACAAGGTCGTCGTGAAAAAATCAACGCAAGTTTTGATGGAAAACCCATTCAATATCTCATGCAACTATTGAGACATTTCTTGTATTATAGCTTCTTTCAGACATTGCAATAAGATGTTGTCAAATTCTGATCCAAATGATACCCTTGTATTGTTACATCTTCCTCTATACACAACTTAGATTAAATATTGGTAAAAATTAATTGACAAAATGACACAAGCCCCACCACATCTTTTACAACAGAAAACAATAAAAATGAATAGATTCATTGTTTACAATACAAAAATTCAAATTGAAAAATAACATAGCACAAGAAAAATAATTATAATGGGATAAAAGTTTAGATTTCAAAATTTGTAATTAAAATATGAATATGTTGTTCAAAAAGTATATTTTCTTCATTTTCATTTTACAGGTCAAATTTGCAATTAATTAACTAAACTTTACTTGTGTAACAGACCAGACATACGTATACATATATATATATATATATATATATGTGTGTGTGTGTGGAGAAAGTATAAAAGAAAGGAAAATAATATTAAAAGCAATAAATTCCAATCCATCAGTTATTTAAACATTCTGTATTGATTGTAACTTGGTCCATCCATTTGCCAAGATAGCAAAAGAACACTTCAAAAAATGCAAACTAGCACAAAGTCCAGAAAGCATCTTCCCTATCAAAATACTATTAAAAAATTGGTTAACAGAGATTTTTTAAATTGTTTTTTTTTCTTTTTTTAAATGTAATGAATTATCTAGATTCAAGGACAATCAAACATTAGCAAGAAAATAAATTAATATATATATACATAAATACATGTATTATTTTTGTCTTCAACAATAATGAATATACCACAAGAATTTGTGGAATGTGATTAATTTCTATTCTGCATGTTTTACATTTGACATAGTAAACTAATTATTCATTGTGACTATCTCTTGCAAGAGTTGTATATTTCTTACACATACAAGATTTAAAAAAACAAAAACAAAACAACACAACACAATACACACACATATAACTCAGACATTTAAATTGCTCAGTGAGAATTATAACATGTCATGTGCAAAATTTGGACATATGCATATTGACTTCAAAATTCAAAACCCATTGATGGTGGAAAATCATGAAAAGTTATGAATTAATTCCATATTCATATTGTGCTACTTACACACTCTGAAATCTCATCTTTATAGAAAGAATTGCATATATAAGATACACAAAAAATTAAAATTTAAGATATAGTCATAATGATAAACTCTTACTTATTTTTAAGTTGGATATTTGGTAAAACAGCCATCTTGTACTGTTTGGAGAAGATCTGAACCTTTGATGGATGATGTTACCAAAAACAGAGCAGTCCAATATTGCATGTAGGATGATTCTAATAATTCTGTAGTATGGTTGAAATAAAATTTAACACTGACCATGTAAATAACACACACCTTGTAGAGATAATCATGGCGGCTTGTGTGGGATTGTACCACATACACAAGATTTTTTACTTTATGCAAAAATCAATACAGTGTGAATGAGAACTTATTACACCAACCAGAAAAACACATTCAAAAGTAAAGAAAAGTGAACATTCACATGCATGGAGGAAGTTGCTTTAGGTCCAAATTGAAACAGAATGAAACAACCACAATCAAATTAAAACAAGACCCCTTATCCCCATTATTATTGAGTGCCAAATGATGATAAGTGAAACTAACCACAGTATATGGAATGGCATGCATGATTCCACTAGTAATAGTGAATTAAGATAAATTAATTTTGAATTTTGACATTGTGTATGATGTACAAGTTGTTACCCAATAGTGTTGAATGCACCAATAGACTATGTTTTGCAGCAACTCAATATTCCTCAAAGAAATTATGAAATGAACATTATTGAACAAATATTGTCATAATAGATTAGATTGAACATACCAACCAACCTTGAATTAGTATGTCAACGATATGATGCACACATGAAGGGATCACCGTTTATATTTTAAGAGCACAATAATTTGTCTCTACATCAAAAAAAAGATGTGCACTGGTGCAGAAATACAGAAATACAAACATATTTTGATTACATGTTTCAATTATTTTATTGAAGGTTTGGAATGAAGTATTTGCTAAAATAAGTGTGATGGGTCAGTCCAGTCAATGCCTCCTAAGTTTGGTCTAGAACAAACTCTGATTTGTTTCTATATAAAGAGGTGTTGCTCACAATGCATGTCAAGGTATGATTTTGTTCAGAGGGAGTGGGATTGAGTGAGGTTGACATTGGAAACATGTGAACTCTTGCACTTTGGATTCCATGACTCTGAATGTTCAAAATGCTCTGTGGGTCCATTGGAACACATCTTAACATAGCAGATGAAACTAGCCATACACAACAACAGTAAAAGGTGGTGAGCATTTCTAGTTTGAATTTAAAACATAGAGTTTCACATTTTCGTATTTACTTTTTTACTTTCATGAAAATGATACTGATTTAATAACATTGGATGGGTTACAAGTTTGCCAAGATGTATACCATGTTTGCCATTTACTATCTGCATCAGGAATCACAATATTTTGTTCCTGAGTCAACAATCTCAAATCAAACATTGGGTTAGGGTTATGCTCTTAAGCTTTGATTTCAAGTTGAACTCTTTGAATTATACAACTATAATTGAATTTGAATTCAAATCACACATTTATTCATACCAAAGCAATACATACAATTTCACATAAAAGTATAAATTATGACATTTGATT